ATCGGGTGAGGGATATCGGTTTCGCTCCATCGCTATGTACGATTCGCTCAACCCCGCGGAAAACGTGGGATTGCAGAAGTTTGGTGTATGTCCAAGAGATGACTATCTTAACTCCCACCGGGTAGCTCTTCTTATCTTATCGTACCGCCGATGGATAGAAGCTTTCGCCGATAAAGCTCGGCGGAGAAATGACGGCGCGTTTCGCGTGGATGCACCACGCCACTCCTTAATTAAGTTCGGACAGCCGTTTATTCGGTTTATTGTCTTGTTTGCCGTACCCCACGAGATGTTCCTGCACGATTACGCGCATCCGTGTCAGTAGGTGCAACGTCATCGCGACAGAAAACACATCATCAACGCTCGTCTACTTCAAAAACATGCTTCTTGAATCGAAATTATTTTTGTGATTCTCATAGAGATTCGAGGAATTCAAGAAAGCTGATTTCAGAGAGAGAAAAGTAGATTTTGAATTTGGGGCTGATAATTTATATCTTACAAGAAAGTAAAAAAAAATACGTACAATTTTAAGATTTTACTCGTTAATTAACGTAATAATTTCTTTGATAAAATTTAAAAGAAAATAAAGCAATATATAGCAAATTAATATACATATATAATTTATAAATTATATATATATATATATATTTGTTTTTTTAAATAATTTTTAATTAATTAGAGTTATTGTAATTAATATGTTAAATATATATATATATATATATATATATATATATATATATTAATACTAAATATTTTCAGTAAATATAATTGATATCTATAGAAGAAGAGAATATTTTTGAAAAACAGATATTTTATAGATAAACATTAACAATTTAAAACGTTAAAATTAAAGTTTGCATGGCAAAATCTCTTACAATTAGATTGATATCTACACGGCGATTTTACGTTTGTGCCAACCGTGACGGATTCCTTCCACGAATTTGACCCGGCGCTATAGTGTGGACAAATTATGCGCATTACGAAAAGTGTCCCCGAAATAACAGCACCGAAGGGAGCCACGGCGATGACCACGGGGGATGAAATGTCGGCACGCGGACCGCGCCGCGGATGAGAGATGGGCCTATTGTGCCATCGTAAATACAGAGAAGCGGCCCGTCCCGAAATAAGGGCATATTTCAGCTTCTGTCCGACAATCACTACTCCGCTCCGCGGATCCACGGTCGTGCTGTTACGAATATAGGCGCGGTAGCGAGGATGACAGCAGAGGAGACGGAGGGGACGGCGGAAAGAACGAAGGGGACGACGAGAAGGACGGTTTCGAGTGAAAAGGAGCGAGCGGGTGGACGAGGGACACCGAGTAGGAAGAGACCCCATTTCGTATTCCTCGGGCATCCCTCCTGATCTCCCCGCATTTTTATTGTACTTGCCGCCGGTAAGAATATGTTTTATTTATATTTCATATTTTTCCCTTTCTTTCTTTCCTTCTATTTCTCTGTCCCTCTTTTTTTTTCTCTCCGTGTCGCGTTTCGTGGTCAGAAACGGACGCGGCACATCGTGGATTCGCACGGGGTGACCACGAAATATGAAGTTGAGATACGGGATCCCCCGCGTGTCTACGCAGAAGAAACTCGGACTATATACTCTGCTCGCTATGGTTTCTCCTAACGCCCCTATTTTCGAAGGCAATGGGGTCGCCTTCAGCCGGGTGAAAATATTTTGGCAACGTCTCTCTGCGCAAAGTATTTATGTTTGTCCGCGACGGTGAATCTATTTTTTCGCGTGGTTTTATTAGAATATTGCATTAATGAAATTGCATATTGTGTAAATGTGCTTGTTCTTTAAGATATCTATACCTTGCCCCTCAAATATTTTACGAACATGAACAAATCGTAGAGAAATTAGAAAATATGCAAGGAATAAAAAATACAATATTAATAATTATTGTTTTCAAAATCACTATTATAAAAAGAGCAGTGAGACAGATGCGAGAAAGAAAGCTAGATCCCAGGGAGGATCAACTGATCTTGTGCTTTTAGCGTCCAAATTTAATTCAGCGTCATCTGATTGAGACGAAGGGTGTTACACGCAATTTGCCGCGTTTCGCCATAATAACTCGCCGTTACCCTTCGGCGTGTTTTATGGCTATCATACTGAGTATGCATAATTCACGGTCCAGCGCATAAATTTTCGAGCAGCGCGTATCTTCCTAAAGATTGACGAAACGTAACGAAATAACGCGATATTTTAGATTAATGACCTCCACTGAGTGTCTTTATTTTTTCATTCACAGATCAGCGTAATCGTGAGAAAAGTATCTCGAAGAATCTCGCACAGTCATTAACGGTGAAGGAAACTCGTCGCGCGGATGCTGCGTCTCTCTATCCTCGAGGAATATCCCTTATCGTACGGCGCTGCGCGATCGTTAAGATATCCATCATAACCGTGTGAAAGTGCAAGAAGTTGGTGGAATTGTTTGGTACGTGCACGTGAGTTGAAAGTGAGCCACGAATGAGCAATTTCATGTTCAGCCGGTGTACGTGACGGGCCCTTGATATCCCGTTTACGCTCCTGATACGCACGCGTTCCGCGCACAAACTGCGTGCGCGTGAGCGCGCGTGCGTGGGAATTTCGGATTATAATTTGATAAGGATTCATGTCTCTCACACGAGGTGGAGAGGGCGCGGGGGTGTTTTGCTCTGCAAGGGCAGAGCCGGCCGCCTTCTTTATTCCGCGTGCACGCACGCCTGCCGTGAGTTTTGATTCCAGCGTCGCTTTTGATACGCACCGCTCTCGAAACCCGAGAAACATGTAAATCAGAAGTTTGATACTTCTGAAATGGTTCCCGCTGAGAGAGAATTCCTTCGAGCGCTCGGTAATAAATTCCTCTTTAGATGTCTTACGTATAAATGTTTCAAGTGAATAATTACGCAATTCAACTAAAAAAATACGCACAAGAAAGAGAATAATCTTTTTTCGTAATTTTTTTTACGCTAAATAGTTTAACAATATTATATCAGAAAACCATACATTAAAACATACATTAAAAACATACATTAAAATAACTCGTTGTGCAACTTTATTCGCAAATTTCTCAAAATTGTAATGAGAAAAATTGAAAACTAGAATTGTATTTACAATAAAAAACTACAGGAAAAAATTAATTACTTTTTTCTCGTGTTCGAAGAAACTTATTTTTTTGTTGAACTGTCATGAAAAGGAATGTTCTTTATATTTTCATATATATGTATTTATTCATATTATATCATATATATTTATCATACATATATATATATATATATATATATATATATATGTATTTATATATGTATTTATTCTTAGATTCGTATGTGTGTAACAGGATCGTAATATTTTATTAAATTTCTCACTCGCGATAATAAATCCCTTTTAGATGTTTTATGTATAAATCTTTCAAGTGAATGATTACCTAATTCAATTAAGAGAAATATAAGAGAATCTTTTTTCGTAATTTTTTATGCTAAATATTTTAATGTGTCACATATTAAATTTATAAAATGGAAAAATATTTTTAAAATAGTAATTTTTAATTATTACATTAAAATAGTTATTTATGCAATTTTTTCAAAATTGTACAAAAGACTGAAAGTTGAAAAAAATCGTATTCAAGATAAAAAACTAGAGAAAATAATTATTCTTTTTCTTGTGTTCGAAGAAAATTATTTTCTATTGAATTGTGTTATAAAAAAGAATGTTTTTTTTTTATTTTCATATATACCTAGCATCTCTAGATTTTTGTATCAGGAATAGCAGGATTGAAAAATTGTAAAACAATAATAAAATTCGAATACTTATCGCAATTTATATTAGAAAAATGAGCAATCAGAGAATATTTTCTTGTCTTATTCCGAAAATAGATCGCGTGAAGGGAGATTATTTTTTTTTACGATTGTGTGTTTATATTATTGTGATGCGTATTATTTGCGTACAATATAATATTCTCGCATACGTGTATCACTGCCTTTTTACAATTATTAATGAGAGTACTCACTTTGCTGCTTGCTGCTTGCTGCTGCTCTGCATTCCATCTCCGATTCCATCTTGCGGAGTTTCGATTTGTCCATCCACTGCTCTCAATGGTCGGAAAAACACAAACACACACTCGAAAAACACACGACACTTGAAAAATGCAAATAAAATAAATTTTAAAAAGCGCGAAAACCAGCGTTTCGATCTCACTTTTATTGCGCGTCTTCATCGACGTCACGCATTTTTATAACACGGAGAATTTCGTACATCATGCGCCGATTTTAGGGCGAGGGAGAGGGGATTTCTCCTAAAATGTTACAGTATTTTAGCTTTTTCACCGCTTCGCGTACGTTGCTTTCAACGCTCGGGAGAAATGTAAACAATATACCACAAAAAACACAAACACTTCCGCGACACGTCTCGCTTATCGTGCGCCTTTCTCGACATAGATCGACAACGTGATTACGTCATTTATATATTTTTCTATACACGGACAACTTCGTATAACCTCGCTCGGAGATTTTAAAAGAAACCGATACTTTGCATTTGAATTTTTCCACAGCTTCCGCGACTGTACGTCCACCACGTTCAAGAGCCGGCAAAACACAACACTAGGAAGACGCACACGACACTTGAAATACATATGTATACAAACAGGATTACATTGAAAACGAGCGTGAAAGTAAATAAACATTTCAATCCGCGACACCGTCTCGCCTGACTGCGCACTTTTATCTTTTATCGAGCACTATGATTGGTCACTTGCGTTCCGTGTTTTAAGGGTCGTAGTCCTCGTCCATTGTCCGCTAATTTCAAAAGAGTCGAGCATTAATGACCCGAGAAACTTCAACAAGATATATATAAACAAGACATATATACATATTATAAATGTCACTCTCCTTTAAAAAAATTATCCTCTACGTATTAAATCGTCTAAATATTCGTATAAGTAAATATTAATATGTAGAAATTTATGTAAAGTACGCACGAGCATAGGAAATACCCGGCGTATTTACCAACGCGCGTATGAATGACGTCACGTGTCGGTCGCGCCGGACTAGTTGACACTGCGTAGCACACATTTGACGAAGAAACAACGTTCGCGACAGGTCGTACGTGATATATTCTCTGCACAGCGATTATCAGAGAGGATGTGAGAGTTTAAAATGTGTTATCGGGAGAGTACAAATGCTGGGAAGATACATGTATATATATGTATAACATATATCGTGTATAGCGAGGTCGCATGCGTTGCGTTCCACAGGTGTCTAATGCTCGTGATTAGCGTCATTTTTGCTGTGATAGGATCGTTTATATACGCATTGATTAAAGTTATAAACGGCACTGATAAGAGGCTTGAGATTTCAAGGTAAGCATAGTGACAAGCGTCGAGAGAATTTTGTAGGTTAACTTTTCAACTTAAAGGAATGTACGTCTCTCTTGTGACTGATGTAAATGTTTATTTATTTTGAGAATTTTATGCTAAGCGTCACGTTAAGATTTCACTAACTCTTATTTGTATATTTAATTATTTTTTAGCATGGACCAGCAATCAAGGTTATCTTTGAAAAGAAATCGTTATCATCAGTTACATGTCAAAAGTGTTATTTCAGTGGAAATATCAGACGATGAAAGTTCTGATTCAATATCAAATCCACAGTCAAATATAGGACAAGTAAACTGTGCAAACGCAAATCCTGGAACAGCTTGTATTTCCAATGATGTAACAGATAGTTCAAATCCTGTATGTAGTTTGACAAATATGCATGATTTATCAGATGATTTAAGCAGTGATGAAGATGTCGTTGTAGTTGATACGCCTAGTACTTCCAAGAATACCAATTCAATGTTTAATTGGGGGAATACAAGTTTTGCTTATGCGCCAAGATATCAAAACAGCACGTCTTCCGTGTTGCATGATTCAAGAATTGAAGAGGAAATTCCTAAAGAAGTATTAAACAAAAAACAAAAACTAATGTTTGATTCGACAAATGATGATGACTTGATGAGCTTGAACAACTTTAAAGAAGAGGCTTTGCCATCTGAAGTTACGATACAACATAAAATAATGATTGCAGGAACTACTGTCACATTTCCTGTCGAACCGTATCCATGCCAGAAAGCAGTGATGAATAGTGTAAGTACTATAATTATGTAATTATTGTTGTAATTTGTATTGCTGTTATTTGTTACAATTTTATTAACGATATTGAAAATTACATGTGCAGCTTATCAAAGGATGTACCAAGGAGCAGCACTGTCTCTTGGAAAGCCCTACTGGTAGTGGAAAGACTCTGGCTCTTCTGTGCGGAGCTTTGGCGTGGCAGGACCAATACAGTAGTGAGTTTTTGATGCATGTATTATTACATATTAGATATATAACAAGAGTTTAAATTAAAATCTCTGGATTATCACTCATTAATGAAATATTTACACAATTTTTTCTGCTCTTTAATGAGATTATTATGTTTCATAATTAATTCATAAGATAATCCGCAGATTTTTTTTAACTTATTTGCCCATCTAATTATAAATATAAAAACTTCAAGTGCATGCAAGTTAGTGAATTGAATGATGCAATTTCGCGATCATATGATATTCAAATATTAATTTCCTATCAATCATGCTCGTGCAGCGCTTTCTTTGCCACGTTATGCCTGTCTTTAAGATTTATCACGGAGTTTCGCAAAAATCTCGTTTTGTCGTCGTGCCGTGTCTCGTGATAGCCGGTCGTTAATGTCAACCGTCTTAGCGACTTCTCTTTCGTTGTACACTAACATATACACGTGCGCTCGTCGCTCTCATTAGATTTTTGACTGTCGTGCGAATTTTGGAAATTAAAAAGCGGCCGAGCCACCATCTACCTATTTCGCTTGTCTCTCCTTTGCCTCGCGGCCGAGTATCGCCCTTATTAAAGTTTCCCGAAGTTTGCGAACATTTTGCTTTACCTCGTCAGAACTTTAAAAGTCTTCCGGATAATTTCTCAAGGCATGTCACCGCGATGTCAGGCGTTTGTCGCGTTCATCAACTGATTAGTTTCCGCGATTTTTATTTTATCTATTATACTATGTATACATATTATATTTCTAAGAATACATTATATAAAAAATTTATTTTTCTTGAAAAATTCTACAAGAGAAATTCCCATGCTGACATGGCAGCATCGAAAGTGTATTCTTGTTCGAAACGGCAAGTTTATTTATCGGCATTTTACATTTAAACTATTAATGCGAGCGAGATTGAACATCATATCGCGCAGGCATTAATTTACATAATTTTTTTCTCAACGAAATGATATAAAAATTAATACAGCACTCGTGCTGCATTAATGCAAGGACATCTTCACAGCTAAATATACTCGAGACCATTATTCGATGCATCGAATAATGGTCTCGAGTATATTTAGTTATGAGAAAAGAAGGCGCGGATTTTCTCGTTTCCTCGCCGAGAGAGAAAGCAATTCGGATCGTTAGCGGTTTCTTGACTATTAATTTAAATTATTCAACCATTCATGCGCACACAACACCGTCGTAATAATCATTACGATCTGAAGTCGCTGGTAATTCCGACTTGCACGCGTGCATGCAGCTAATTGTTCGTAATTTGTGCAATTTCTAAACAATTAGATTTACCTTCGCGATGAGCGATGTCTCGTCCCGTCCTCGCTCGTACCAGTCTACGAAAAACAACGGGACGAACATAATTGTCCTTCGTTATGATAATGCGACGAGAATACAGTTTCGCAACATGTTCGATAGCGTTATCTTGCCTCTAGCGACAAAATATTGGTGTCTGTGACAAATATTGCCAAAAATACGGGTTGCAAAGCATCGTAAAACGGTCTCTAATTGATGATTGTATTAAAAAAAATTTAGTCTTACATTTTTGTGAAAATTTTGTGAAAATTTAGAATCGAGATTTTTATATCGTAATATTAATATATGTATATTAATTTAGATTATTATATATTAATTTAGATTGACATTCCTTACAAACAAACGTGCAAGTTTATCGTGCAAGTTTATCGAAGTTAATCGTTCGTTATTTGTCGGAGTAGAATTTTATTGGCCAGCCTTGTCTGTGAAAGTCGTGTTATTGTTCTTAATGTAGGATCTATTAACCATTAACGCGATCGATGATCATTGCTTACTTTGCCGGAAAGTTTCGACGGAGACGCGTTTCCGCGATTATAGCCCTTTTTGCGCCCCCCTGAACGAGCAGCTGAATTAGCTAGAATCGCCGAGTGAGGTGGTTTATCGTACGATCCCATCTTAATATTCTAGGAAATCGTGGCGAATGTCGATTGATCGAGGAACAATCACGTCGCATGAAAATGACATTATTTGTTACTCGCTAGAAACGACTTTCCGAGTACGAATAATTCGAAATGTCGTTGTGGAGATGTGGAGATATTTTTTTCGATAGTATGTAATCCGATTCGAACAAAATAACATTTGGTTTTATATAACTAGATTTTACAATATATGTTGGCCAAATTTATCGATACTTTGATATTCGAGAGCCATGTTTGTTACAAAACATTAAAGCGCGCATCGCGACAATGAAACTGGAACGTTGCAAAGTATTCGATGAGGCGAACGATCGCGTGCCATTTCGAGCTGCACGAGCGACGAATTAAATGTTCCGCGATGTTAACGTCAAATTTGCGTGAGTAACTTCGCATTCGCTGCCTACGCGAAAAACGACGTAGGACGGATGGACAGGACGTCTTTAGGACGTATACTGGAAAGGACAGCACGAACCGTCATCGCCTCCCGAAATTACAGACAAGTCCTCCCCGGGCTTTATTCTCGTCGTTGTGACATCGCATTACAAACCGACAAATTCAATTACAAACCGAAAATTATCGACCATGCAAAAATTCTTTTTCTTCATGACAATTCTTTTGCAACTGGGGATCGGTAAATTATGATATTCAATAATAATTCCTTCGTTGATTAGCATCATTCTTTATTTATTGAATAATGTTATATGTATATATATTATGCGATTTTTGATTCAACAATGGCGTAGAATTTAAATCGATATTCGATTTGTCGTGACAAAAGCAAATTAATAAAAATGAGTTATGAGCAGGATGAATGAAAAATATGGGATGTGATCGCTTCTAATTTTAATTCGGTCTAGAATCTAGAAGTTACATAATATTGTATACATAATACATAGCTAAAATTAATATATTTCTAAAAAATCTGAGTAAGAGCATTTCGCATATGTTGCTCTAGGTTTTGACAGAGAACATCATGCGTAGATAATTATCTATGAGTTACGACCTGCTCTTAGTTTATCGATGCGCATCCTAATTAAGCAAATCAGAATAGAGCGACTCGATGGAGATTAGTCATGATATGAATTTTCGCGTGTGTATGGCAAGGATGCGTGCGTAGGTGTGCCGCTTTGCACGACATCCTGCTTTTCCCAGTTATAATTTGCTTTATGCTTTAAACTTGGCGTTGTCACGCTCTGCCGGAGGTCGAGTGGTACTGCTAGCCGCCAAACTGTAAACTTACCTCGTTGGAGAGCCGCATAAATTAGGTCCTCGAAAGGGAATAGAGAATTTTCTGGCGTCGCGGTTTAATCGATATCGTCGTTGCCGTCGATGTTGGAGATTCGCTTCGACATTAACATTTTTGTTTCTTTTTAAACCCATAAATAATCCATCTAGAAATACATAAAAAAGTCGTGATATACGGGAAATATTCTCTTTCTCTGAGAAAGAGTCATATGTATCAACTTGCATTCGCTTAAGGCGTTGAAAGGAAACGCGAAGCTTGAGGAATCATCCTCGAGCCCGTATGGCCACTTTGTTTAGCGGGCCGCATGCGATTCACAGACCGCGTGTTCCACGTGCCAGCCATAGCGCTCGATTAGCTTGACGCAACATTTACCGGAGAATTCGAAAAACTTAAATCGTTCGTAGAACGAAGGAGCGTGATGCGCCGCTTTCGGTGGAAGAAGGGAAGGGAGGGACATCGAGAGGGTCGGACGAATAAATTTCGAAAGTTTATCGCGGAATCGCATGCTGGCTAATGTCACTTTATTACTAGTAGAAGACGGCGGCAACGCGCGGCGACAGGCCGTGGAGGGATCTTCAGGGGGAGAGAGAAAGAGAGGACCGCGGGAAGGATAAGTTCGAAATAACCGGCAGCGACGAGACCCATTGTGCGGCAGGAAACTTGGGAAGTCATAATAATTATCGGCGAACGCGGAATTATATATTGTGTCCCTGTGGCAGCCTGTCGTCGTCGTCGCCGCGAATCGTCTTTGCGCCTCAGCATGCAACTCCGACTGAATATGCAGCTACGTGCTCTGTGACGTTCTGACATTAATAATGCGCGGGGAATCCGCCTTTTATGCCGGAGGTACCAACCGTGGTACCATCGCCGTGGACTCTTCCCAGAAGGAGCTCGCCGATCGTGTCGTTTCGCTCTTGCACAACTCGCGAGGGGAAGAGTCCGAGTAATTTTTTTAAAGGGAGCAGAGCTGCATCGATCTGATATAAATTTTGTTTAATTACGCGCATATAAATATTGCTACAATTTATGATAACTGATTTGATAAAATTTTCATACAAAATTATTTCAGTCAAATTTCATTTCTGAATGTTTTCTCCAACTTTCACGTCTCCCGAATATCTCAGCTCGAGTAAAATAAATGATGCTACGCGCGCGATGCATCTTCCGAAATTGAATATCGAAACTCCTTATCGTTGATTCTTTTATATAATACGAGCCTCTTCGCGATTAGCGAGATGCGCGAGAGGAGGAAAGGAGAGATAGAGAAACCTGAACGGTAGCTCCGGAATGGTGCAGGGCTACCCGCAGAGCACGCTACTTGCTGCGGCAGCTTCGCGAGCGAAAGACAAAGGAAGGCCCACGCTTTCATCCGTGCCGACATTAAGGCACCTACCGTATATGCCCTTTCGGAACACAATAAGGTCCGCATGCGGGTCCAACGGATCTCACGTCTCCTGTGTACACGTATACCCTTCTCACAATGAGAATCTCCCTTTTCGTACCCCCTTTCCGCGCCCTTTATTTCTCCTCCATGGGAGTCCTCCTTCGACGGCTATGCACTTCGGTCCCGAATTCCGGAGCAACGGATTATCGAAGCGCCAGCGCGCATCGCGAAGGTACTCGACGGGTCGTAAAACACTCGGTGCGATAATAAAGCCGAGGCGAAATTGATTTTGTCGCTAATGAGCCGCCTGATTATTTCCATCGGTTCCGCCGCGAGTCGATGAAGAAGAATGTTTTTAACTTTTTTTCTCTCTTTTTGCAAAAAAAAGTCTTGTCCCCTCGCTTGATTTCCCTTATGAC